GTGTGTCGGAGCACCCTAAATCTGAATATGGTTTGAATTAGGCTTGCACCCTTTCTATAATTTTGTAGATGTCTTTATAACAGACTTTGATGGAACCAAGTTAATAAGATACATTGTCTTCTCCTGGGCATCTCCCCATAACAACATTGGGAAGGATGGATAACTGAAAATGGACTTCTCCAAGTCTAGAAATATTTGATTTCTGCATATTGCAATTTCGTTTAACTAACGCATTCCTTGAGTTGACAGTTATGAAAACTATCCCCTGTTAAATCAGGTAAAACCTTAACTTACCAGACAAGTATCTAACACTTCAGTTGGACCAAAGTATTTTGATTTAAACACCTAGATATTTTTCTGCCTCAGACTTAAACCTTTTGGAATTTTCAAAAAGCTTTAGACTTATAGCGTACTAGATTCATCTATCCAAATCCAGAGTAACCATTCACATAATGAAGTACTCATAACCTTTTATGGCTTGAATGCTAATAGATCCACATAAATATGTACCAATTCTAGTTGAATAGTTGCACAAATCCCTTTGACCTTGTAAGATTGTTTGGTCATTTTACCTTCCAAATAAGACTTATATGTAGCTTTAGTTCAAAGACTATGGAACTTTCAATCCCGCTTTTAACGAAACTATGTTTCTTATTTGAGGTAATCTGACTCAATCATAAAGACCAAAGATATGTTTCAATTGAAATTTTTATTTATTTGGTGAATGTACTTGTTCATCATCCTTTTAATTCAACATAATAAATTCAATGGGGTATATGACTCTAGTAATAAAGACCATTTAATATACCGGAATAAAAGAATATGAATTTCTTATTGAAACTGAGGAATTAAATGGTATTGTCAAACCATGTTTACATAAACAACCAACACAAATAAAATTCCTTTTTAAATATAGAATAAAGAAACAGTCTTCCAAAACCAAAGTCTTAAGTTATCAAAAGATAAAACAACTTGCTCTACTACTAATGCAAACACAAGCTCCCCTTTAAGCTTAAAATTTCTTTATCCTGCACTAACAGGCCCTCTATACTTGAACCACTGCAAAGAGCAACAAACAAAGTTAGTGGTTTCCAAATCATGGATTCATCCACTAAATAAGCCTTAAATTACCCACACCTAATTCTTTTCATCACCTTTGGGCAATCTTTCTTCTAGTGTCCCTTTAGTCCGCACTTGAAAGACTTGCCTTTCGACTTCTTTATAGCAACTAGTTTGACATCTGATAATTGAAGGTAAGGCCGAGTTGCAAGGCTTGATGGACACCGATTTAGGGGGAGATGCCAACTCATGAAAGTTGATAATTAGTTATTTGATGACTTTTGCAGGAGGAGCTATCTCCTGACAAAAAAAACTACAAAAAAATGTGGAACTTTCGATGATCGAGGTCGAGTACATAGTCGCTATTGAGGCTTGCAAGGAAATGTTATGGATAAAGAAGTTTCTTACGGAATTTTGCCATGATCAAGAAAAATACGAGTTGAAGTGTGATAACCAAAGCGCGATTCATCTAACGAAGAACTCGACCTATCACTCTCGCACTAAATACATTGACGCGAGATATCATTGGATCCGGGATGTGATGGAGGATGGACAACTTGAACTCGTTAAAGTGCACACTGACCTAAATCGGTTGGACATGATGACCAAGTCGGTACCAGCAAGAAAATTTGAAGACTACTATAAGGGTGTCAGGCTGCTGAACCCGATGCATTACAGTCAGAAGGGGAGATTTGTTGGGGTATGTTCTTTCCTTTAATGCTGATGGTTGAGCATGCACCTCATTTATGGGTGTATGGCTCAATGTCTATCCAACCACCTCAATGAATGCTACCCACCTTATCATTGAAGTTTCTAGAAAGAGGTGTAGGGGTTTCCCTCACCCTATTTAAACACATGAAGACCTTTACAAAAGGTTAGCCTAGCTTTTGTGAGAAAACCCTCTAGAGAAAAGTTTGAGTAAAAGCTTTTTTAAGAAGAACTTGTAACCACTATTATTGGTGAAGCTTGAGTGTACTTCTAGTGTGACTAGAAAAGTTTGATCTCTTTGTAATTCTACTATTACATAGTGGAATATTTTCTAGAATTGTGTCCCGTGATTTTTTCTCCTCTGACTCAGGAGAGGTTTTCCACGTTAAAACTTGTGTTTCCTCTCTGTGTCTCTAATTTCTGCATTTTTCATTTCTTTGCGTATTAGCCAACCTGGTGACTTCCGGCTGATCTCCATGTGCCGAGCTCCGAGCTCATCATGCCAACCTGAGATTTTGCTTATGCGCTGATTGAGTGACCTCGTCCCAACAATTTAATTATAGTGATTTAATTTCTAATGAACCTACGTTTACTTTCTAAAGTAAAAATATCCTCAAGATTTCACTATAATCTTTGCTCTGATCCAAAGGTAAGAACTCCAATATAGGTACTATCAAGCATTTGATATGATTCAGTCTTTTAATACTTTACAACCAAACTTTTTGACACGGTGAAGATTGAACACCAATCTCTCAAGGTGAGTGAGTGAAAGCACAACTAAAGTCCCATGTTCTTAAAATATGACTAACATGCAAGTGGAAGCAAAACTATCATTCTCTCACTAATGAAGTGTTACAAGAAATTAAAAATTGGAAACTCAAGAAAGTGTGTGATGGACAAAGTGATTCTACAATGAAGCTTATTAGAATGTAATCTTTAGAATCCACTAGGGCTAGCTAGTGGCGTGGGTGTGTGTAATAAGGTGTGTGTGAGTGTGTGGTTGTGTGTTCTATTCCCTGTAAACTACAAAAAAAATAAGAATGTATTCTTTAGGCAAAAAAATTAAAAAAAAATGCAATATAAACAATAAATTACAACATTAATGCCATTTTCAAATATTTTACAAAATTAATGTAACCAGTTATGCACAAACATGGTGCACGACTAGTTGTGCATTAGTTCTGTGTGCAATTGCAACGTGGAAAATTCTTATGAGTTGTGCACATAGTACATAAACAACTCACGATAGCTTGCCACGAGGTATTAAGGGTAGGCATGGTTCAACTCGAACTAATTTTTTTGTTGAACCAAACCGAACCAAATATGTTTAAACCAATTTTGACTTGCGCGTGTACATGAGCAGCTCACGATAGCTTGCCACGTGGTATTAAGGGTAGGCATGGTTAAACTCGAACTGATATTTTTGTTGAACCGAACCGAACCAAATATGTGTAAACCAATTTTGACTCAAAGAACTAAACAATTTTATTATTTATCCGAACTTATTTATTTTTCTCAAATCGGTTCATGGTTCAAAATTAGTTCATAATTTATAGCTAGTTTTGAAGCAGTTTAGATATACAAACTATAATTGTTATAACAAAATGAACAAGGATTCAGAGCTCTCGATAATATATTTATTCAATAAAAAACATCCAAATAAACTAGGATTCACCATAATACCCTCAAATAGAAAAGGAAAAAGAAAACAACTGAAATTATGAAACTATCACTATAAGAAAAAGAAAAAATTAAAAACTTTATGAAAATGACTCTAATAGCCCAAAAAGTGATGGTGCTCATTGCAAAACATAATCCTAGATCAAAAGACTGATACCAAGGGCCCTGTCAAATTTGAGCTTATTCTAAGATGGTCACCCCAGGTCAACATTAATTCGGTCACTGGCTCTTAATAGTAACCCGTATATTACACATATAACCATCCCCAAACGTCTCGTGACAAGATCTCGTGAGTTAAGCATTAGTTACATGCGCAACTCACGATAACCTTCCATGTGTCAGTTGCTCACGCAACTAGTTGCATTAGTTTTGTAAAATGTTTGAAAACAACATTGATGTCGTATTTTGTTCTTAAATTACAATTTTTTGTCATAATCTTTACCGTGTTTTCAAAAACTTCAAAAGGACTTTCATTTATTGTCAATATTCTTTTAGAGCCGTTGCCCAATAATAATGGAGATGGAAGGTTTGAATTTCATTTCTTTAATGCTACTAGTTATTTAGCATATTACTTGAGCTGTACAGATAAGTTTGAAAACCAACGTTCCAATGTATAATGAATTTTGAATCTTTCTTAATAAAGTCATGTACCTCTCAACGGTCAATTCTAGCTTGAATCATGTGAAAATCACATGTTATGTCGGTGCCCCGTCTAGCTGTTACATTTGAACATACGTTAGTCCAATATTTATTATTCTTTCATCCAACGTCTCTTTGACCAAGACCATTTAAAAAAGAAATAAACTATAATTATCCAGCTATATCCAGCTCTAGAGTTTCAATTTCACGTGATCCTAAGAAATTTCCAAAGTTTACATAACGAATATAGTTAGGTTTGGGGGACCATAAATTGATGCAAAATCAATATCAATTAATTTATGGACTTAAATATTCGATAAAAATATTTTACAAAGATAGATTCTATTATATTTTTATCCATATGCGATTTTGACTCATTAGTCCGAAAAAGGTGCAATATCATAATAATTAAGGAATAAAAAGGAATAGATTAATTTAGAAAAAGAAAGCGAATAAATTATGATTGATAATGTTTTGAAAGTCAAATAACATAGGTGCATCACTTCACTCTTGTGTAAGGGTAGCAATTCATCACACGCTATAATATTTTGTGTTCTGATTGACCCGCATTCATATACATGTCGTGATAAATACTATGTGTACAATACATTATTTATATAAATATATTTTCAATTAATTTTTATTTTGTTTATGAATGCGTAACGGTTCAATACTTAAATTTGAGTCAACAATGTTATTTTTTTTATAATATTAAATACATTTCCATTATAAATATAGAAAATTTTTAAAAAAAATTATTAAACTTAATAAGATTTAAAAGTAATTCAAATTTAAGTATTATATATTACACCTTGACTAGGCATCACTTGCACCAACCCAGAAGCTCTAATACACTTCTCCGTCCAAAGTCTTTTCTCTCAAAGAGTATTTTCCTTCCTGTAATTCAAATTACAATGTCTGATCATATTCCTGAAGCTATCGTGCAGGATATCCTTCATCGCTTAACACTCAAAGATATTGTTAAATGCATGTCAGTGTGTAAAACATGGAATAACATGATAAAAAGTCACACCTACATATCCTCACACCTTAAGCGCACTCTCTCCAGCCCCACCCCTCCTCATTTTCTTTTGCGCCATTTACTCCCCTCGAGAAAGGAGCATTATTCTATCTGCTCCTCTTCCTTTGACAAAATCGATAATATCCAATACTCTTTCCCAAATGAAGAAATCCTCACCTTAGTGGGCGTGATCAATGGTGTCGTTTGTCTCTCCGATGATTACTATAGACTCACTGATGATATCGTACTCTGGAACCCTTTGATACAGAGACATTTGCGACTCCCAACCCCACTAATCACCGCGGAAACATTGGGCGATGATTACATATTCAAACTTGGGTTCGGGTTTGATTATGTCAAGAATGATTTCAAGGTGGTGAGGCTTTGTTATACTTTGAGGGAATACGCGGTTCCACCAACGGTGGAACTATATTCCCTCAACGAAAGTGCTTGGAGGATCATTGATGCCTCATACCTCGACGTAAGGGTAATTGGGTCCATACAATGTTTTTTTCATGGAAATGTACATTGGCTTGCCTATGAGGATACCCCAAAGAAGTTCACTAAATCTTCAGTACAAAAATGTATATTGATGTTCAATGCAGTGGAGGAGCGATTCAACAAGATGGAACTTCCGGAGGAGGTGACTAAGAGTTCTATGTGGTGGCCTGACTTGGTCATATGTGTGATTGATGGGTGCCTCTCGCTTATAAAGTATCCTAAGGATTCTTCTCCCATCTTTAACTTATGGATGAGGAAAGATTCATGGAGTCAGGTTTATGCTATTTGTTTAAATGAAGGGTTTAAATCCTTGTGGGGAATTTTCTCATCTCAATACCCAGGACGAATAAGCCATTATGATTCACATAATGAAATAATGTCCTTGCATTCTCTTGATCTCAAGAGCCAAGATAAGCATACTGATATCCAATATATAGTAGAAGAGTTTTGTGCTTATGATTATAGAGAGAGCTTGGTTTTACTTGACAAAGAAAGCAGTGTTGCAATGTTGGGGCAAAATGAAGAATCATCCGAAAGCTTAAAGATGGTGGGACAAAAGAGGAGGCGTGAAAGTTCTGTTGGACCAAACCCAAAATCAGATTAATTGGGTCTTTTCAGATTTCAGACACATCTACTAAAAAAAGACACAAATCAATCTAGTATTATGGTTTACTCTTGATTGTCACAAGGATAGATTCTTAGGACTTTTAAGCGTAAACATTTATTATAAAATTACTTTAGCTTTTTAATATTTGGAATTTATAACTTTATTGTTGTTATTTTGACTCTTTTATGAGATAAGGCATAGGCTATCAACAATAATGATGAATTGTTTATTAAATTTTTATCTTTCTTACTTTAGCTTCTATCGTGGTAGGATTAATAAAATCGCTTTCGAATAAATGTTCATCTCTCTTTCTTTTATTCAAGTTCAATGGTCTCATTTTTATGATTTATTTTAACATTTCTTAAGTAGTCTTTTTCTTTCCAAATAGATATATTGAATTAGAATTCATCCTTGACGGAAACTATTTTCCCTTTATTTTTTTATATTCATGATGTATATACATTTTATCTAACAAGTCAATATGGAAACTTTCCACATTGCTTAATAATAAAAATGGTAATTAAATGTTCAATTGTAAAATGTTTTAAAATCTAATGTAATAATGAACAATCCTTGAATCAAATAATAAGTAGCTTGGTTATTAACCAGATGTCTTAAGTCCGAGCTCTATGAATGGAGTAAATGGTTTTGGGAGAGTTGTCCCCTTTTAATGGATACTAGATTAATTAGTAATCGATGAATCAATGATTGGCTAGAATATACTGGAAAATCAACTTGAATGTTTTCATGATTTAGTGCTGATATTGACTCAAGTAAAGAAAACTAAAATTCTTTTGTTGGCACTATGCACAAACATGCATTATCCTTTTGTGGGCGAAAACCCAGAACTCGGCTAGCCAAAGCCTCAAAGGATGCTTGAAAATCATGAACGAATTTGTTTTGTTGTAGTTTTGCCAAAGAATAGGCCAAGTTGTCAAATTCGGAAGGACCAAATCAACACGACGGCTGTCTGTTTAGCAATTCCTAGAGTTATGTGTTGGCTTCTTATAAACCCAAGAATTGTTGTTCGTGAACTAATTCTGCTGCCTGGAGTCGTTGTTCTAGGTGTTCCATGTGTTGATTTTGGTCATGAAAACTTATGTTTTTGGCCATAGGACGACGAGGAAGGATGAAAGCACCACTGATGGAGGGAAGTTTGAAAAAGAAGAAGGAGAATGGGACAGGGGAAAAATGAAAAAGAGGATGACATAGAACCGAACAATTCTAATTGATTCATTTGATTAGTGTCTTTTGAATTTATACATGGCAATGCCAAATCAACAAAACTAAAAGATAATGAGATAACTATCATGACAAAATAAAGAGATAACTCTTAATGGTTGTTTTGATCCTCTCTTTTTTAAATTAGAAGCTATTTATAAGCAGAAACTAGAGCAAATAGGTTTTGAGAAAAACTCTTATAATGAAAAGCTCTTTTTTTATAATGAAGAAAAAAGCTAAAAGCCAAAAACTCCTAGGAGGATATATTTTTAAGCTCTTACCAACTTTTCTTGAATTGTGTGTTTTTTTTTTGAAATAAAGAGTTAATAGAGATAGAGAGTGTGTGTGTTTTCTTGAAATGTGTACTTTTAAGTAACTTATAAACTAAAAATTGTAGGTAATCACCAAACAACTTTTAACTTTTTTCTTTAATTTTTTTTTTAACTTTAACTTATAAATAACTTTTAATCTAAAATAAAAAAGATCCAAATAGACTCTTAATCTAATTTGAACTTAATTGAAATAACAGAATAACCTATCTAATCATGGGTTAACCGTTTTGATCCCTTTTAAACTTCAATCCCTCCTCAAGGCTGGCCCATAAATCTTGTAGTTAGAAAAGTATTTGGGCTTGATGCTTTGCCTCTTGGATCTTGCATGTAGCGGGCTTGCAATAATGATTTCTTTTAACCAGGTAATTTTCAATCACTGTCTTGAATCGTTTAGATTTTGCTGGATATGTGTATTGCTCCATATATAGTAATATGTTGGAATTTTTCTGTTTTCTTGAAAAGATTTCCTATCTGAAATTCATGTACAAACTTTTTTGTTTATACTCAAAGTTGACATGCTAAATTAAAAAAAAGAAAAAAGAAGAAGAGAGAAACTAAAGATTTCAATAAAATATTTAAAACGAATTAATACACAGTATCACCACTAGACACTACCATTAAAACAAAAAGGTCAAAAAATTAAATTTATTAAAAAAATCAATTTTTATTTGTTTCAAATCCATACTATTCAAAGCTAAAACACTAATTCAACGATATCAGCCCATAATATCCTGATCAAAGGTTCACACTACACTCCCTGCTTGAAACAAGACCCATCAACCTATAAAGAATAGAATCAGAAAAAAAAAAAAAATACAATATCACCTTCGAAATCTTCACACCGCGAAGAAACTCAGAATTTCTTAATTCATGAGCGTGTTTAATAGATATAAGAAAAAAAAAAAAAAAAAACCTTAGTTACCCGCTGATTGGGTCTGGCCAACCCAAGAATCTATCATGACCTCATGGTCAATATAATGCTGGCTGAATTGGGTCATCTCATCACTTATCAAATTTTCTGGGATCGAATATTTTCATAAGTTAAAGTTATATAAGGTCAGTCTTCGGCTAACTTTATTTTATTATGAAGACTTTAGTTAAAGTGTTAAAACAGGGAAGGAATTCAAATATTTAAATTTGAATTATATAATGCATTAAATCTTTAGAAGGAAATATCTATTTTTTCAATTTTTTTTCTAGTTTCTCTATCACAGGGCCAACACTAAGTCTACCTTAGAGTATCATGTCACACTTTTCTTTTTCTTTTTCTTTTTTATTGTACAATGCAAACAACTAATAATCTTGGATTAGTTTTGTATTAACCAAGATTAAACTTCTACAGAAACAATTTTCACACTCACCAACAAGCACGTGGATCAAATGGTAAGGAACTGTTTCAAGTAATCTCGATTTCGAGTTTTTGGAAACATAACTCTGTTAAAAATTTGATAGGGAGAATTTGTTGTTTATATGATTGTACTTGACTCAAATTGGACTAGTCAAGTAATTGATAAATCGATGGATAATATAAAAAAAAAACTTCACACTCTTACATCCAAATATTTAGAATTCAAGTATGAGTTATAAAGTCGGACATAAGGCAAAGTAAAGAACTTATGTAAAAAAAACTAAAAAAAATGTGCTTTGAGATTTTGGATTAAAATGCGATGTTAATTCACTAATTATGGGTTGTGTTATTCTTCTATATGTGCTAATTGAGTACTTATTTATGTCACAATGTTTTAAAGAAACAGTACTTGAACTCTACCATCTTTAGTACTATGGTCTGGCCAACCACCTTGGTTAGGCTATATTATTACACCATGTCATAACGGGCACAGAAGGAAAAGCACCAAAAGCGACACTGTATCACGTTAGACAAAACATGTTGGCGTGTGTGGGTCATTGAGCCTCCGACCAGAACCAGGGAAGGTACTAATCAGTAGCTCATGCTTCTTGGATTCAATGGCAGCAAATGTCTTAAGCAAAAACAAAAGGAATAAAGCAATGAAGCTGCACATGACTGTAAACAAAGTTAAAGGGTGCTGATCAATGAACCTAAAAAAAGATGTTACATCACATCTCTTTGCGTTTCAGGGCATTCCCCTTCATCATCTTGTTCCTCACATCTATACAAAACACATTCTGTTTGTACTGCATAGACAATGACTTAAGCTCCAAAACACTGCAAAAGTGCTTATACATGTGCCTAGTACTCAACCACGTTCATATAGGTTCATTTGTTCCCATTAGTACACAAGATTTTCCGTTTATTTAAGATGTATATGCAGAATGTGAACCTAAATTCCCATAAAGGCAAGCAGTAGTGATTCAGGCTAAAACACCTTCTAAGACTGTTAGTGTAAAAGAATTGTTGAATTAAAAATGATTGGATAAGTTTTTCCAAACTAATATAATCAAACATGTCATTGATATTGACGCGACTAGTCCCGTCAATGATCTTGACAGGATTATTGATGCCATATAGCGCCACGTAGGCAATTTCGTCATCGCAAAATTTTGAAAGACCATAACTTTTGATTCGACTCGACATCAGTTCCGTCAGGATTATTGACGGGATTAATCCTATCAGTACCAATTATGTGTTTAAAAACTTATTTAAATTGGGGGACACTTTTTCTGCAGCGACTGCAAATAGCTGATATCTGTAGCTGACACAGAAATGTGAGCCCGTTGTTTTTTTTTTAAAAAAAAAAAAGTCAAGATACGAAATCGTATCCCAACTTGTTGTATATGTAGCGGCTGTCAAAATGATTTTCACGTTAAATTGTTAGCTATCTCATTGGTTTTTGCTTATACTTGGATCCTACACACCGACAAAGAGACCTGCTTTTTTTTAATTAAAAAAATTGTGATATTTATTTGTTGCAAAAATTATTAAAGGAAAAAAATTGCACATTAATTGTAATGAATAGATCAAAAGTAAATTCAGTCTATAACTTAATAATGAAATGACATCATATTTCCCTCTCTCGTTTTAACTCTCTTCACGTTATTTTTATAACATGTTCATGGGTATTACCTTATAATTGTGTTTAGTTTTTGTATGAGATTCAGTACATCTTAGTACAAAGATGAGAGAATTAAAAAAAGAGAGTAGAATATTGCTAAAGGCGAAAGATCTACTTAATCAACTTTTTTCTATGAGAAAGTAGTTTGAAGCAGCTTCCTCCCAATTCCAAATCCAAATCCAATTGGATAACGCTAAAGACTCCGTTATAGTCACATGCAGAACCTACACATGTCACACGTGCCAAATAGAAATGGCTTGAAATATTATATATTATAAGAATAGATATCATGTCTATATTTTTTTTCCATGCCTATTTTATTTATTTATTTTTCCTATATTTTATATCACAATTTAACTGATATTTTTTTTCTCTCTTCCATCATCAGTTGAGATTGTAATTTAATGATATTGAAAAAAATAAATAAAATAGACATAAATTTTTTAGGAAATGTTATAATTATAAACTTTTTATTTATAAACTCTTACAAACTATACTATGTCTTATCGGTAAAATATTCTTGAGCGAAGTCTTATTGGTAATACATAATGTAGTTTATAAATTTATAAAAAAATAATAATTTGTCAATATAATCCTCCTCAAAAAATTGATATAAAAAATAAATAGATATAATATTCTCGTATTAAATATAGAGGGTAAAGTATGAAGCAAATCCATTAATCCCCATCAACAATAATTAATTGCATATAAGAAGGTAGAAAGAGAGAACATTAGAGGCTGCCACATGATCAGTTCCATGCAGGGAATGTGCAGAACATGCTGTACAATTCATGCTGCCTCACTGTCCCCTCCCTTTGTCACATGCTATCTCTTCCTCTTAGGCCATGCATTCCAAATCTCTTACTCCTCATGTGCTCCCCATGTGCTTCTTCTCCTTTGCTTTCTCTCTCTTCCTGTAACGGAGCTTTGCTGGCCCATATCACCTTCACATGCACCCTTTAGGGGAAGCCACACCCCCCAATACAACTAGCTTACCACACTACCCTATTTTCCTCTTATGTGACTCAAATGCCCTCTCATTTTTTTGTTACATAGTTAAGTTTTGAAGCATTCTGCTTTTTATGGAAGAGAAGCTTCCTCTGTCTTGTTGCAATTTGTGAATCATTCCATATCATCTTTTATATATTATTATTATGTGATCCTTTCACCTTTTATTTAAGAATTTGTCCTTTTTCGATAGTGCCATACTAGTAGCATACAAGGTATAATCCATGAAATATTTTATTATCCTAAGTAGCACTCTTGATTTGTAGATTTAGGTCGGCTTAATTCAACACCTATTGTAGCTAGAATATTATACTTGACGATTGAATACTCTCTAAGCATATAATTTATATATATATATATATAGAGGTAGGATTCTTTGACACCAGTGTCAAATTTGAAATTTGATACCTCATCTGAGAGTCATTAGATCAAAAAAGATCAACGACTCTGATTTGTAAGCATGTGACACCATTGATTTTTTTGATCTAACGACTCTCACATGAAGTGTCAAACTTCAAATTTAACACTGGTGTCAAAGGATCCTACCTCATATATATTTTTATTGGTTCATCGATTAATCGACTAATCCGATTGAACATAATAGGATCACAGGGGCAACAAAACTTTCATTATTATTAACACAATTGCATACACATAATTCAAACTCAAAACCACTGATTAAAACAGAACAAACTCATATTTGTTGATTCACGACGTGTTTTATGCTTAAATATATAATTTATGTTAGACAAATATAAATAAAATTATTAGTATTATCTTTATTTAATAATTTAAACTTATAGATTGAATTAATATTTTATTAATATCTTTGATCACTAATTTGATATTTACTGTCTCTTTTATTAATATTGTGGAGTTTGTGAAACTTTCCATTGTACTTCTTTCCATTATAATAAACTCTATTGTGGGGAAACATATTCATCGAATAAGTTAAACTTTTGGTTAAATTCACTCATTATTATCTATATGCTTATAGACACGAGCAATAAGTCGTATCAAAGATATTGACAAATTTGATGTAAAGAAAGAAAGAAAAAAAAAAACATCAGTTATTTTTCAAAAGCAGTGGCATTTCCGTAGTAACCAATATCATCAAGTGGCAATCTTTTCATACCCTATTACTTAAACCCAGAACCCCCCTTCTCTGCTCACCCAATGACCCTTAACCCAAACAAAAAAAAAACATTGGCTTCCTCTTTCTGATTCTTTTAGGTTCTGTGTCTCTGTGGCCATGAGCATAAACACAAAGCATAGTTACAAGCTCTTAGTGAAAAAAGCCACAAAAAGAAGAAGAAGAAGACAACAACAATATCATCATCAACAACAACAACAACAAAAAAGAACTACCTCATCAATTGGCTCTTGCTCCCTCAAATCCAAGTCCAAGCTCTCACAAAAACTGCAGGCACTCAAGAACCTAATCCCTGCCCACAATGGAAACATAGTGAAAACTGATCAATTGTTCAAGGAAACTGCTGATTACATCGTTTTGTTGAAGACCCGGGTCGTGATTCTTCAGAAGCTGGTAGAGTATTATGGGAACAACCCTGAGAATGAAAATGCTGTATTGTTATAGCTTCACTCTCCTTCATGGTTCTTTTTTTTCTTTAAGATGCTTTATCCTTTTATTGATGAAGAAAAAAAGAAAAATGAAAAAAAAATCTATGTACTAGTGGTTTTTCTTCTTCTATGATTCTGTTTTGTAGAAGAGATAGTGAAATGAAAGAAATTGAGAAGCTAAAGCCACTAGGATTCATCTAGTAGAGGAGAGATTTAATTCGTTTATACGAGGTTATAGGTTTAAATCTCGGTGGCACTTAGTTATGTATCCAAAAGAGAAATTGAGAAGTTGAAGGTTGGAAATTTGTAAAGAAAATCCAATGGACGTAACAATTTTTGTTTTTTTTGTTTTTGTTTTTCCTCTCTTGTGGTTTCCTTGGCATTATTATCGGCATTTAATTGTGCTTCTTCAATATTCATCATCCCAAAAGCAATTTTATGAAATTTAAGCAGTTAACAAAACTGAGATTTGGTGTCAAGTCAATGAAGAACAAGGTAAGTCTAGCCTGAAATAGGAATTTCAAGCTTCTTTTTGTTTGATTAAAACTCTAATTAGAAGCAAATACTATGCAACAGTTTCATAATTAAGTCATGTTTTTCAGAATAATATGACACATTTTGAACTTGAATTTGCTACACTATCCAATGACACATTATTAAAACATAAATAAATAAATAAACTTCTTAGGTAGAGATTGTAAGAGTCACCAAATGGTGGTAGCTCAGTTGACGCATGAGAGTTAAGTAGGTGAAGATGAAAGCATGTGTTCGAATCTTCTCAGTACCACCTTTGGGAAGGATTTAAAACCTTAATTCTAGACCTGCTCCGATCGGATTATTTGCGAAACAATAAAAAGATTGGAATATTTAAAAAAAAAAAAAAAAGATTGTAAGAGTCAAATTTTGGTAATAATTTAAATTATATAATTTGATATCAGGATTTTTTTTTTGAGAAGTGTGAGACCATGATGTAAGCAATTGAATTTAAAAATTAAATCTCAACATATATTATTATCATCAGGTGCTAAGCAATTCCCATAAATGAGACTTTGAGACAGGGTCCATTTTTATGTGTTGTGATGGTCATTTAAGAGCATGGGCTAGTGCATGGCACATTAAGAGTCTCTATCAAAAAAAATAAAAAGGGTATGCACACAATGCTAGCAAATTAAAGAGTGGAAGAGCATGGTGCAAAAGACAGTAACTGCATTAGCATCTGCAAAGAATGGAGGGGGGTGGGGTGCATGCGGTCACTCTGAGATGTCAGATAATATCTGAGTGATATGGACAGAGAAGTCCTAATTCCTGGGCTGTGGTGAACATGCTGTGGTTGTCATGATCTTGACATGTTCACTGAAGGAGTTGATGAACCCATGTGCAAAAGCCAAAATTTAAGTGTTCTTTCTCTGTAAGGATATCAGCGTGTGTTTGCAATTTAGATGCCCACTTGCAAATTTGGCCTCAAACCTTCACGAATTAAAACCCACACCTTGCAAACATCATGTGGGGTTGTCTATTTTCACCATGTACCTTTGTCCTTTATATTATATGTATCCTCTCATTTTTGTTGTTATTGTTTGGTTTTTCTTACATAGAATTTTGTTACTGAAAAAACTATATCTAGGTACTGTATTCTCCTATAGTTTATAGTTTATACATCAATGTTATTATTTTTTAATTTAGAGAAGACTCACTATCAAAATAGGTTTTACCGTTTTTGAGGAAGCCTAGGGCTGTTTGATATGAAGTTTTGTTTTAAAAATCCGAAAAATGGGGTGGGACAAATTTTTTTACAATATTTGATATGAGAAAACTGAAAGTATTCTCGGTAAATTTTTTTTTTCATCATTTCAGTTTTAATTACAAAATCTCAAACGAAAATACCATCTGATACATGGTATTTTATTTTCTCATGAAATTAGTATAATTAATATAACATTCTCGGGAAAATTTTGGACCTACCAAACACATTTTCGTAACTTACCTGGGAAAAGTTTTTTCCATTATATTTCCATAAATCTTTTTATTTTCCGGTAAAAAAAATCTTTGGCGTTTGGTACGCGGATATTATCATAAACTGAATGTAAAAATCATATTTTTGAAAATCGAGATTTTCAGATTAAAAAAAATTTCACCTCTACCAAACGTCCAAAAAGACAAGAAAAGTTGATTAAAAAAAAAAAAAGACAAGAAAAGGGAGATGAAATGAAAAACGAGGTTTCTTTCATGAAGTTTAATTGATTATAGTTATTATTTACCAAAAAAATAAATTGATTATAGTTATTACTTTGAGGAGTCTTTTTCCTTTTTATATTTCATATTTTCATTTGATTGTGAGATTATTTATACAATATATATTATTAAGTTATTCAAAGAAGTCTGGAAGGGAGAGTGACTATTTTGTCACACCTGGCAAATTTTTTTATTAAACTGCCACGCCAACAGTAAATTTTGCCAAAATGCCACGTGTCACATTTCGCTACACTGTGTAGCAAAATATGTTTGCATATAATTCGCTACATTGTGTAGCAAAATATGCCATGTCAGGCTGTACTGTCAGCAAAAATGACAAGTGTCAAGCAGGTAGAAATTCGCTACACTGTGTAGCGAATTATGCTTGAATTCTGCCTGCTTGACACTTGTCATTTTTGCTGACTGTGCAGCCTGACAATGCATATTTCGCTACACTGTGTAGCGAATTATATGCAAACATATTTCGCTACACAGTGTAGCGAAATATGCCGTGTGACATTTTGACAAAATTTACTGTTGGCGTGACAGTCTGGTAAATTTTTTTGCCAGGCGTAGCAAAATAGTCACTGTTCCAGTCTTGAACGTTTTTTTTTTTTTGGTTGATAAATAAGTCTTGAACCTTTAAGTATTAAGAAATGCATCTAACGATTATACTAAAACTAAAAGTAAAGGCTGACTTATCCAATTATCATACACAAAATATTTTTTTTTTTTTAATAATTGTAATATGGCTATTTCTTTATGAAAAAATTTAATTTTTTTTTTATCAAGTGTTGTTAGAATTAATAGTTTTATATCATGCTTATCTACTACACACATTATATAAAAAACTAAACAATATACAAGTAGATAGGTGAATTAAAAATTTCAAAACATTCAATTATTTATTAATAGAATTGAGAGGCTTTAATAATTAATATTATATAAACAAACGAATGAATCAAAAATGTAAGCTTGTAATACTAATATCTCTAAGACACCCAATAGATCCATTTTAAATCAATAACTTAAATATTATAGATCAGGAGCACGATATTAATTTTATATTGATATATTTAGCGTGTGCATGACAACCTTCTCGATTTTTTTTTTATTTTTGTTCCCGGGAACAGAAATGTATAGAAAACTCATTTGATAAAATCAGTTTATTTTTTTGTTCCCGAGATGAACCAGTTTAATTTTTGTGTTGTGGAATGAAAAAAGAATCAAAACTTTTTTTATCTTTTGTTTCCGGGCAAAAAATGAGAAACAATTGTCTCTCTCAATCACTCTCCACCTCTACTATCATCACCACCACCACCACCATCGTCGTCGCCGCTGTCGTACCACCATTGCCGTTGTCACCACCATCACCACTACCTCCACCCATCACTATCAACATGCCACTGTCAACACCACCGCCACCACCACCATTTTCGTCACCACTACTGCCACCAATCACCACAACCATCATCGCAGCCATTGCCGTCGCTGCCACCACCACCACTCCACCACTATTTCCACCACTACCACCACCGTGACCATTACCACTATCGTCACCAACCACCACTACCTTCGATGTAGCCACTGCCGTCACCACCACCACCACCATGCCATCACCATCACCACCATCGTCACAACCAATGCCGTCACCACCACCACCACCGCTGCAGCCACTGACATCACCACTGCCACCATCACCGCACCACAAAAGCCCCTATTTATACCATAACTCAAAAGACCAATTCATTAGCTAAACTCACCCCTATTCACTTACGAAGCAATCAGACTCGTCTTTTGTTTTTGTTTATAGAAAGCGTGTTCAAGGCGTCAAGTCATTTTTCTTAAGTACGAAATCACACTTCGCAGTGCTTTACTTACATTACACCTCTAGTCTATCAAAGTTTTGTTCATCATCCATCCATCACCATCACCACCACCGCTATAGCCACTGCCATCACCACCACCACCATGCCACCGCCACTACCACCACTGCCACCATTACCACCACCATCGATGCAGCCATTGCTGTCACCACCACCACCATCACCATCACTACCACCGCCATCACCACCTCTGCTATGCCACCATCATCGCCACCATTATAACCACCAATAACGCAACCTCTACTGTCACCACCACCACCATGATGCCGTCATCACCACCATTTCTACCATGCCGTCATCACCACCACCATTACTACACCACCATTACCACCACCACCATCATGGTCACAGCCACTGATGTCACCACTACCACCGCCGCTGCCACCACTACTATGTCGCCACTATTACCACCGCCATCGCCGCAGCCACTGCCGTCACCACCATGTTGCCACCATTGCCGCCACTAGGGGTGTAAATGGGCCAGACTAGGCTGGGCTTTGGCCCTCGTGGCCTAAGCTTACGTAAAAATATATTCAGCCTATCTGGCCTATTGACCTATTAAAGGCTTTGTTTTATAGGTCAGTCCTGGCCTATTTTTAAAAGTTAGAAAGCCTGATATGGCCTACAGGCCTTGTAGGCCTCCCACTGCAGATACTGAGCAAAGAAAATAATTGTATAAAGCAAAGAAAGTTTCATTCATGCATGCACTAATACTTCTCATAAGAAATAAAAAATGACAAACAAGAGTAAACATAATACCCTAGCTTTATAATGTATATCAGAGGGGAATTAGAGTCAAAGAAATGGGGAAAATAAGAAAGAAATACAATTATTGGGTCAACTAAAGACGAAACTTAGAGACGAGAGTGAGAAGTCACTTAGAAGCGGTGGTGCACAAAAGAAATAAAAAATGACAAACAAGAGTAAACATAATACCCCAGCTTTATAATGTATATCAGAGGGGAATTAGAGTCAAAGAAATGGGGAAAATAAGAAAGAAATACAATTATTGGGTCAACCAAAGACGAAACTTAGAGACGATAGTGAGAAGTCACTTAGAAGCAGTGGTGCACAAAAGAAATTAGGGTTGGTACTTTGCCACCTAGAATAAATATATTATTATAAAAAATTAAATAGGCTAGCCTACAAGGCTTTAGGCCAGGCTTGACAAAGTTGGCCATGGCCTATTTGTTAAAAAGGCTTTCTTGTAAGCCTAACTATACTCTATTTTCCAGAAAGGCCAGGCTCAACATAGGCCGGGCTTACAGCTCGACCCATTTACACCCCTAGCCGCCACCACCACCATATAGAAAGGGAAGTGATGATCCGAAATTTTTTTATGTTTAATAGGAATTTTTTTATTATATTATTTGTTGTGTTATCAAACACAATTCTCATTTTCAGAATAAGAATAGAACATGTTATCTAACACATTTTTTTCCTCAGAAGCTGTTCCAAGGCATAGAAATAGAAAAGAATTGTTTCTTTTCAGAAAAAGTGCAAGAAAATAGAATGATTGTCCTGCACACCATTAACAAATGTACTGTTCTTTATATATATATTTTTTAAATTTCAATACAATTGTGCATCAAGAATGTGTTTGGCAATGTACGCACGTGCACACATAATTTACTCTACGTCATACATTTCAGTCAAACAATATTTTTTAGGTTAAGTGATTGTACTTTTAAAGGATATAAATTACGTTCTTTTAGTAATTTTAACTATGTATTTTCGGAAATATATAATTATGATATTAAAGTTGTATATTTTTTTCTCTCTTAAAAAATTGTCTGCTGATGTGAAAAGTGAAAAAAGTACAACTTTTATACTATAATTGTGCATTCCCGAAAATGCTTAGTTAAAATATGCTAAAAGTAGATAAGCTTATGTCCTTTAAAATGACACTCATTTTTTCATATTTTTTATGAGAAGGATTATATTGATAAACTTTTTTGTTTTTTACAAACTTACAAACTACACTATGTCTTATTAATAAGACTTCATTGAAAAGTGTCTTACCGGTAAGACATAGTGTAATTTGTAAGAGTTTGTAAACAAAAAGTTTGTAAATATAACTTTTCTCATTTTTTATTATTATTTCTGAAAATAATTTAAACAAACGTGCAATTAAAATTTTTAATTTCGGATAGAAATAAAATAAACACAACAACTGTCAAATTAGATAGTATAAATTAATTCCTACAAAAAAAAGATAGTATAAATTAATTAAATATAACAATAATGTGAAACCAGTTAAATTCAATATAAAAATGGAAATGATTTTTACATGCATATAACAATCAATTAAATATTTGATGCACAAGTATAAAAACGCAAATAATTTTTACGGTCAATTTTTTTCTTGAATTCATTACCTTTAAATTTTGAGACAGCTTGGTCATCATATGTAAATTGTAAATTTTCCAATTTTGTTTTGACATATATATTCAAGGCGAGGCAACGCTTTATAGACAGTTAAATTTGGAACATGTGGTGTCGTGAGACCATGATATTTTGTCTTCTTCTTGTGGCTTTTTTTCACTGAAAGCTTGTAACCATGCTTTGTGTTTATGCTCATGGCCACTGAAATAGAGAACCCCCTAAAAAAATCTGATAGAGAATATTTTGGGTTAAGGGTCATTCAGAGAGGGGGGGGGGGGTGTATGGAATGAACCACCACTTGATGACATTGGTTACTCCCGAAATGCAACTGATTTAAAAAAAAAAAAACTAATTTTTTTTTTCTTTACATCAAGTTTGTTCCCAAAACATCTTTGATATATCTGCTATATATTAGGGTAATAAGCTTTGCATATAGGATAAACACATACAATTTATAAAATCTAATACGATGGATAATTTATGTGCAAGAATAAAAAATCTTATACGTTAGAGATATAGATATATAAAACTATTAAGTAGCCTTACCGAACAACTTAAGTGGGTTGAATTTGTTCGTTACATGATATCAGAGCCTTGGTGTCACGGGTCCGATTCTCACCGCTCCTATTTAATTAATAATTAAGCAAGTCTTGTGAAGTTTCTTAGCATAAGTACATTGGGCATGATGCATCATCCATCCTTCAAGCCCAATTAGCTCTTGTGTAAGAGGACATATTAGATATATAAAATCATGTAACCTTACCCAATAATTTAAACTTTTGAGTTAAATTAATTTTTTACAAATTAATTACTAACCCTTAATAAATTACAACCACCGTCGTATACACGAAGATAGCGACTGAGATGAAGACTAACACTTCTTATTTTTTATATTGGATTCAAAAAATCCCTCCCCAAATCATGTATATAATGCTATATGTTACCTTTTATACTAAGTTTTATTCTATAGGTGCAGTAAATGGGGCCTAAAGCACTAGTAACAAAGAGAAAATGATAACACATTTAGGGAAAGATGTTCAAACACATAGGAGACGTTATTTCTATGTGAAATAAAATTTTATATTGTTTTCATTAGGGAAGGATTTCCCATTTTTACTTGTGTAGATCTCTTCTTATGCATATTCCATGTTTCATGAAACTCATCTCCATTAATATGAACATATTCCAGTTTTATGCTTCTACTTCAACCACTCTGGGCATGATTAGTAGGGCTGGCAATATGGGCCAGCCCGCCCCGGCCCGCCACTAGCCCGCCCAAAATGGGCTGGCCCGCCCCGGCCCGTTTTGACAAAATGGGTTGAATTGAGTAACCCGGCCCGTTTTATGAGTGGGCTGGCGGGCTACGGGCCAGCCCGCCTAAAATAAAAAAAATATAAAAATAAAATACAAAAAATTAAATTCTGCATAAAATCACATAAAAAAATCTGCATAAAAGCATACAAAAATCTGTATAAAATCCTAATGTGCTTATGAAACCAAGAAGATCAGTGTTTAATAATCTGCATATAAATATGCATCTTTCAATCCAAAAATAATAATAAAAAAATAAAATCATATCAGGATAAAATAGAATAACAAAACAAGTAACAAAGTGTTGTATGAGCAGTCCACAACAATTCAAAAAAGCCACTTGCAAGCAGAGAAATCTAAGATACGGAGCTACATAACAATTGGGTAACCTAAAAAAAAAAAAAAAAAAATGACTTGGCGGGCTGACCCATATGGGCTGGCGGGTTTGGCGGGGCGGGTTGGGCGGGCTGGTGGGTTGAAAGACTCAACCCAGCCCACCCCATTTGGCAGGCGGGGCGGGCCAGCCCGGCGGGCTCAGCCCATTTTGCCGGCCCTAATGATTAGAGGTTGAATTCCTACTGGGAATTAGGATCTTGCTTCTCTATACTCACTTTTTTACATTTTAGGCACCATTTTCATGCTTGTGGTTATTTTTGAGCATTTGAACTTGATAATTGTGGGTCTAGCTTTATTACTGTTTTGTGTGCTTTTGCTGTTATGGTGCTATGATATACCATGTATTGTTCTACTTATAAACAATAAGGTGTCGACTAGACCACTAGTGCAGTTGAGTAACAATCATGAAGGACTCAACCCATAATGTTCCAGCTTGGCAGTAAGGGAAATGATGGTATCTTGGGTAGAAAAAGAAACAAATTGAAACACCTAGCAATGATCAAACATTGTGTGGTCCTGATCAGTCCTGAGATGAAAAGAAAAACACATGCTGAAGGAGTCCATGGAGCTGGTAGCTTAGTTGATTTAGGGATGTTTGAATCTATATGAGTTTTGTTTGTGTCCTTTTTTCAGCTGTTTCTGGCTGTGTAGTCCTTAGTGAATAGGAACTTTTATTATCTTTGGAGAATACAAAAGAATTATACCAATTTTAGAATTGGGAAGGCAACATCGGAGGATGTAAGCTGAAACTTTTGTAGAACTAAAATGAACAAAATTTTTAAGTCAAAATTTTGATGCTCATCTATGTAATGTTTAAGGGCATTCTAATGTACGCATCTCACCCACAACAGTAAGTCCCAAGTGTTTGATCCACCCCATTTGAATTGATTTTTTTTTCTTCAAAAATTTTTTAAAGAAGAAAAAGCACTTCTCACTGTAAATTCGTTTAGATGTTTGTTTTAGAAAAAAGCAGAAGTTACAAAAAAGTCAAAACTTGCTTTTTTTTGGAAGTTAAAATTTTTAACTTTAAAAAAAAACAGAAGTTAAAAGCCAAATATTTTTTTTAAAAACTAATATTTTTTTAAAAATCTAAATAATTTTAACTTTTGTAAAAAACACTTGTAAAATAAGCAAGATCTAAAAACTGCTTTTTTTAAAAGGCCAAACAAAAGGGCTCTAGCTAAATAGGATTTCAATGTTCAATGTGGTTGAAGCTTTAAGAAAAGTAATATGTAGGGATAGGAGCACAAATATACAAAAAATCTAGATATTTTAGAAGAGAGAAAAGCTAGCTCCTTAAAGAAACTAGGACCAATATTATCTGCTAGGAGAGGAAAAGCCAAGGCTGCAAGTAGGGGTGAAACTGGGCCGGCCGGCCCACAAGGGCCTATAGCCCAGCCCATTAGTGGCCTGGCCTGGCTCGGCCTTTTTACTTGGCAGGTTGGGCTTGGGCTGATGTAAAAGTTTGATTACATAATTGGGCCGGAATGTTATTTATTAAGCCTGGCCCATGAGCCTCAAAGGCTGGCCCAATTATTCACCTTCATAATATTTTGGCACAGCCTACGCCCTACGAGAGTCCCATTATACTTTTGTCAGTTCCTCGAGTGAAGAGTGAAGACTTAAAGAGAACTGAAGAGGGATTCTTCTCCAATTGTTAGTGCAGTTCTCTCCCTCACCTTGGATCTTCCTATCTTCGAAGGTCCTTCTCTTTCTTATACTCCATTTTCCTTTTTGTTTTCCCTACTTTCTCCAGTTTCCTATCTTCGTAGCAGCAACACTAACTAGACTCTAGGGTTTAGGGTTTTGGTTTGCTCTTCTTATAATTGCAAGTGATTTGAGAAATTAAGATGAAATTGATGATTTTCTGGTCTATTTATTTGTTTCTTTGTTTTTCTTCTTTTGCAGAATCATGATGCCCAGTCCTTGCTTCCTCTGACATTAGCAATATTGTATATATTTTTTCTATTTTAAGAGGGAAAGGGGTTTGGGTTGGGGGACTTGAACTGGGTTAAAACTAGAAGGATGCTTTTGTAGCTTTTCTGTGTATTTTATAAGAGGGAAAAAGGTTTGGGTGGGTGATTCCAAAAACTGTAAACTGATTATTTTCATAGCCTTGTCTAATAAATATATAAAAATAAGCAAGAATAAATTTTTTTAGGATTTAACGGGAAACAATTTATATATCAAATTGCTTATTTGCATTTACATATTTACTTTTTATAACTTGTATCTTTCACTAATGGCTTTCGTATGTGCAAAAACACACTGCAGCTTGTCCGCCCTAATTGAAAACAGGATTTTCAGTGTTCATGGTGGTCTTTTTCCTGCCATTTCAACATTGGATCAGGTTAGAAATTCTACCCCAGTTTATTTGTCTTAAAGTCTTAGATTGTACATTAGCAATATTGTATATATTATTCTTTTTTCATATCCAGATACGAACTATTGATCGGAAGCAAGAAGTACCTCATGATAGTACTATGTGTGACCTCCTATGGTCAGATCCTGAAGATATTGTGGATGGATGAGGGCTGAGTCCCCGTGGTGCTGGTTTCAAATTTTAGTGGCAGTGTTGTTACTTCTTTTAACCACTCTAATAACATTGACTATATTTGCCGTGCTCATCAGTTGGTAATGGAAGGATATAAATTGATGTTCAATAACCAGATAGTTACTGTCTGGTCAGCTCCAAATTATTGCTACGAGTGCATAACCGATTAAAATGATTGTTCTTATTTGTGTTCTGGTGCTTTTAGTAAGACATTGTCGTCTTTGTTACAGATGTGGTAATGTAGCTGCAATTCTGGAGTTGGATGGAAATCTTAATAAGCAGTTTTGTGTGTTTGATGCTGCTCCACAGGTTGGTAGGCAAAATCACTTCATATTGATTATCATTTTATCAACAGGGGTACCTGCTAACATTGACTACTACTTTTAAAGAACTTTTCTTTAAATTATTTTTTTATATATTGCAGTTTAAAGTTTCTTTACAACCTTCTTTTAAATCCAATAAAAGCAAAAATTCTCATACCTTAAACGGGATTTTCTCTTCACACTAGAATTTGAGTATTTTGTGGAGTTGATTTATGGTCTGCATGGAAGTTAAAAATTAACAGGCCAACGGGCCGAGCCGGGCTATTTGTTTTTTTATAAATGGGCCAAAACAGACTAACAGTTAGACTTATACTATGCTATCGGACCGGGCCAAATTAAAATTTTTTGACATAGGCTTAGGCTTTACGGGGCAAAGCTCGGCCCAGCCCAGCCCACTTTCACCCCTAGCTGCAAGGATGGTAGAGTAATGGATTGCCATTCACATACATTAAATATTATTCAGCAATGAAAGGGACCTCCACTTGTTGGTGCAGAATTTTCAGTATCCCCCCCTACATGTGGTGTATGGAGGACTTACTCATGTACTAGATGAATTCATGGTTAAAAATTATGGCATCTGCATGCATGATCATTGATGTGTTTGGGCCTTTTTTAATAACTTTTAAATACAGATGAACTAAGAAAAGAGAGGAAGACAACATAAAAAGAAACACAAACACAAAAAAAAGAAAAAGAAGGATGAACTCTGGACCACTTGTTCATAGAGGCTGTGATATCAAACATGAACCAATTCTCCCAAAAGATTAAACTATTGGGTGAAGTCATATGAATGATTTTATTATAAATGGAACATATTTATATTATACCTAACACTTGGAATTCTACTTTATGTTTTTTATCCAGCTGATGAAACTATCTAGATTACTATTTGACAAACCACCTTGTCCAGTGCTAGTTTGAACCTTCTCCTTGAGATCTGCAGCCCTTGCTTTCACATGTTCATCATTAAAAAGTTTCTCAATTTTGCTTATGATTTCACTTTGTGTGATTATGCCACTTCCATCTCTTTCAAGCCCCAGTCCTACCTTCCAAACATCACAGATATAGCTCCTATTTAGGAATTGATCAGCAAAGCAAGGCCAGCACAAGATTGGGATCCCATTGCTGACACTTTCCATTGTGGAGTTCCAACCGCAATGGCTTATGAAGCAAGCAACTGAAGAATGACTCAGAATTTTCTGCTGTGGTGCCCAACCTACCATTCTACCATGTTTAGCAACCCTTTCTTCAAATCCTTCTGGATATGCATATTTTGTCCCCTCTGTGATGTCTGGTTGCACAACCCAAAGGAAAGGTCTATTGGACAGTTCAAGACCCAAACACAGTTCTTGGAACTGTGTAGGATTAAAAGTTGTAAAGCTTCCAAATGCAACATATATTACTGAACATGGTGACTGTTGATCTAGCCATTTCAAACAAGTCAGGTCTTGGGACCAGAAGTTTCCTGCAGAATATCCAAGCTGATTGCTTGATAGAAGTGGCCCTATGGGTATGATTTCAGGAGCCAGAGAAAGTGCAGCAGGCTCAAGTTCATAAGTTGAATTGCAAAGCAGCCATTCAGTTATCTTCATAGACTTGATGTTTTTCATCATTAGTTGAAAAATATGCTTCTGAGCAATCTGGTTCCCCACACAAACCCAGACAAGGTCTTCTGTACTTACACTGGGAATTGTGGGAGATAGCTGAATGACCTGTTTTTCCAGTGGAGTTCCTGTTTAAATGTTAAGACACAATAAGTAATACATAACTTTGTGGTAGACTGGTAGTTCCATTTCAGGAGTTATGAGAAAAGTTTTATGCTTACTAAGGAATGCTAATTGGTACCTTATAGCTTATAACCTAACATGCAGTGATTGTTGTGGGTTGATTTCTTTGGACAACATTTTAGCATGACATATGTAGTTCATGCCTGGCAAAGGTAGCAGTTAAGCTTGATGCAGTAATAGTAAATAAAAGGAGGCATTCCCCACAAAAATAAAAATAAAAATAAAAGGAGGCATTGAACTTCAAAATGTACTCATGAGTGTTAAGTGAGGACACATGAATTGTTTTATTATATCTTTAACAAGTTCCATCATGTGAGAACTTTGTGCTTTGAAGCGTAAATAATATACAGGCCCATATTTTTTTTTGTTACCTTATGCTTAAATTCAACTTTTTTATTTGATGAATGAGATTGAACTCTAAAACATTTGATTATAGGCTCTAATACCATGTCACATAGCTAGCTCTCTCAGAAGTTTAAGATGTTAGGTGAAGGCACATGAATGATTTTGTTATTGTTGAGATATATAAAAATCATTAATGTAGCCTCACCCAACAGCTTAAGCTTTTGGGTTGAATTGGTTCTTTACATAGTATCAGAGCCTCGTGTCCCAGATTCGATCCTCGTCGCCCCCCCACTTTCTTTCAAGTGGAATTTCTTTGTTCGCACAGGTAGGTGGGCCTGTGCATTGTCCACCCTTTAAGCCCAGTGAACTTTCGTGTGAGGGGGCGTGTTGAGATATATAAAAACCATTAATGTAGTTTCACCCAACAACTTAAACTTTTGGGTTGAATTGGTTCCGTACAGTCATATAATTCATACATGTACTTGTTATTTTCTCATGAAAGTTCAATCTTATGTAACTTGTTAAGGGTATCTTATTCATATCCTCCGGGCTTAGCTAAAGTGGCCAAGAGTCCAAGTTAGTATTTCAATGTAAAAGAGAAAAGAAAGAAATAAAAGGGATGTGTGTTGTGTGCTGCAGCTACTGAGAATCAGTGAAGAAGAACTCACCATCTTTGTCAATGATCCCATTCTCAATCAACTTAGGGATGCTCAATCCTAACACCAACTGTGCTGCTGCTGCAGGACAGAAAGCTGCTCTTTGAATTCCCTTCTTCTCTGCAATATCAAGGGCCCATCCAATGCTCTGATCAGCAAGTACACATGTAATCTTTTCACTTTCTGATCCATTGATGCATTCAATTAGCTCCTCAACTTTCTCTGGCATAACCCTCAATACTGCTTCAGATGATTTCCCTGGCTTTTTCCTCTCCTCTGAGGATTCTAATCCATCAGATATCCACACTAGACAAATCTGAGATAATGAATCATTTCCACTTGGAAATGAACTCAGGATCCTCTCATGATTATCTTTAGTGTTTACAAAAGTTATTTTGATACCATGTTTGACTAAGTAGAGTGAAAGCTCCATTAGAGGAATCACATGCCCTTGTACTGGGTAAGGTACAACCATAACATGTGGCCTTGCCATCCTAACAATTCCTTTGCTCTATTTAGTTCTTGCTATATATATATATATATATATTATCAAATAAATGATTTTATATCACAATTTTAACACACCCCTTCGTACTAATAGCCTTATAGGATTGAAGCGTGGATATATAGACACATCACACCAAGGCCTACTATGATATTATGTCATGAACCAACTCTCCCAAAAAACTTATGCTATTGGGTGAAGACAAATGAATGAGTTTATATTAATCTCTTAACAAAGGAGCATTTGATCCTATTGTTGTCTACTTGTCTTCATGTGTCATGACATGTTCTTGTTGTAATCTACTATGTAAGACAGAACCTGTCATTTCCATGAAGCTATCAATTACATGATCAATACTAAAAAATAAAATAAAATAAAATTTCATTCATACAAAGTTCATTGTGATCAATGTGGGCACAGCTCTGACTCGGTCTCTTTCCATCATAATCGAATGACGAAACTAGAAATGACCACAGATTTGAACTTGCCCTGTTGTCCATTGCATGAACAGTACATATTCTGCTGTAGTTAACAGTTGTGCTGCCTCTATCAAAGGTGTATTATATATTATAACGTCAAATAAACTAAAAGAAGAAAGAATCAATTTGTTTTTGAATATTAATAATTTGGTGAATTCATGTACATGAATGATTAGTGTTGTCTTATATTTTTCATTAAATGCGGAGATATAATGAAAGTCTAATATCACCTGAACTGGATTGTAGAAATTTTTTATAGACTGTTGATAATATTGTCTTGAGACAGACCCAATATAGAAATGCCATCAACATATGAAATGGAGGATTCAAACATAGATGTAAAATTTGAATGATGAAATGGGGGACTATTTATTTATCAATCCATTATTGGCTTGGTGTTACCTCGCTTACAAGTTTTGTTTCATTTGATAATATATATAAGGCTTTAATGTTTTTACAGTGAATGTATATAAGTTATCTATATTCGCTTCCAAAACGAAATTATAATGAAAAAGATTATTATAACGAAAAAGATTATTATAACCCTGAAATAAATTATAATTATAAAAATACCTAGATTTTTATTTCTAAACGACGTCGTTTTGAGTTCAATGTAGATAAGTTATCTACATTAACCGTAGAAAAAGCCAATCCTATATATAATATAATTTACAATGCATATGCAATATTTTTGTAAATCTATATAAACTAATCCGTCCTTTGAACTTGGAAGAGTTAAAAGAAGAGTTAAACCCGAATTAAAAGTATATTAAAAAGGTTAAAATTATGATAATTTAGAGAAATGAATGCTTTCATGTTTTATTTTAATATTATTATGTCATGTAGAAAATATTATTCATTAATTGATACAACATCGATAATTAAAATAATTTTTTTTTCTGTTCTGATTAAAATTATGCCGGTTGGTCTGTTATTAACTAATTTTTTTTCAAGAAAGCAATAGAAATATATGAGACTTTGAAGGAATGTTTTGTTGGCTCCAGAGGGCAGATGATATAATTATGTTAAAATATGGTATAAGTAATTTAGTGGTATAAAATTTCATTAACATTTGTCTATTTTTTTTTATTTTTATATAAGTCAATACTAATTTTTTACAGCAAAAACAATAGCACCATTGGATTGTACCGGTTCATATTTAAAAAATAACCCGCGGTGATTTATTTCAAATTTAGTGAGCTGCCACTGGCCTCTTGTAGAAATGGAGAAAAATATTTAAGCTTCTACTATAAAAGATTTTGTTCTGGAGGACCTCCAACCGGTTGGCCGACTCAAATTCTCTTCTTTCATTCACGTCAGCTTTGTTGACCAAGGGTTACCAACCCTCTCTCATTTTTGTCTTCATAGGACAGTGTCCCTGACGTAAGACACTAAAATGTCATACCTTGGGATACTACCTCCCCAGGTAGCCTCTTTAGACCCCATAAATAGGAGCTTTCCCTTCACAGTTACAACAGCGGTGACTGCCACAAGCATAGCAGAGACTACATTGCTGTTACTGCAGCAATAACAGGCGCCCATGGCACTCTCCAAGGAGAGTTGACTCGGCTCGCTCAACCATGCGAGCTGGGCATCTTCTTCCCTTATAAATACTCCTCCATCACCAGACAAGGGAATCCATTTTATGTGCTGTTACTCTGCCATATTCACAAGCCCTTACTATTACACACACCCTCCATTTTTACGGATTCAGACTCATACTTGGAACCACGCTGTTTAACTTGGTCTCTACCTCTGTTAGCGACGATGATATATATCCCCTCCAAGAAAAATATTGGACTTGTAGCTCTAGGTACATGGTTTTTTTTTTCTTTGCTTACATAAAAGTAAGTAAAAAATATTAAATCCTATAGAAATAATCCAATGTGTCATCAAATAAATATATATCTAAATAAAGTTGCATGAAAACGACGTCGTGTCAGCAGACCCCAATAGAAGGAATCTAAAACCCTAGCAAGATAGGAACACGTTAAACCCTAGTCTCTTGCTCAGTTGTTTCTGTGTCCCTGGAACTTGGAGAAGAAGTAGAAGATGGATATGGGCGAAGAGGGTGGTGAAGGGAGCGCGAGGAGCATCCAAGTACGGTTCGTGACGAAGTTGAATGAACCCTTAAAAGTTCCAAACATCGCCATCGCCATCCCCGCCGATCTCACCAGATTCGGCCTCTCTTCCGTCGTCAACGCTCTTCTCCAAGGCAATGGTAATTTCCAAATTTTTAATTTTAAATAATTGATGAAATTAGGTCGATTTAAGTTTCTGTTTGTTGTTGTAGATGCTGATCATGAACCGGAACCGTTTGATTTTTTGATTGATGGCGAGTTCGTTCGCATGTCGCTTGAGCAGTTCCTTCTGGCCAAAGGAGTCTCAGCGGTAATTATATTCAAACAATTACAAACCTTTTTCTCATTAACAGTTGAGCCTTTCAATTGTGTTGTATGGATTGTATCTGTATCATGGAAGTGAAAGCACTGCAAATTGATTATGTGTATGTTCTAAGGAAACCCGATTTTATTTCTTTTTTCTTTTTGTTTGGTTGGCAGGATTTTAGATTCCAAATCAAGATTCATGGGATGTGTTTGGATTAGCTTATATTGGGAAAAATGAAATAATCTTTTTTTGTTTTGGACAGTTTCCTGAAAGGAGATTTTGAAAAAAATAAATAAAAAAGAGAGATTATTTCTCATAATTGATTGGCTAACGACCACTTTAACTTGGGAACTAAATGCTTGGATAAGTAGGACTAGGACTGCTTGATTTGTCCACTGGATTCGAATGAATCATTTTTATTTTTCATTAAGACTGTTCTTTGATGGTGTAAGTGCCTTCCATGCTTGTTATGTTGATAGTGTCGAATGTGATGCTGTGAATTATGGGGTGGTTGTTACTGAAGTATACTTGTCTCCAAAATTGGGTAGTTCGGATTGTGTCTGTATGGCTGTGACAATAGTTGGTGACATGTGCACTGTAGTGACCTCTGTGACTCAGTTGAACTTGGAACAAATGCAAAGTTGGCTCTTTAAGATAATTGGTTCCTACAGGTTTATTCAGTATTTCAATATTTTTTTGTTACAAAACATGAGAAGCTAATACCCATGAACATTCTGCACTTATGTTAATCTCAAATTAAACATAATGTGAGGTTTCAATCTTGGGAATCTGAATAATCTACAACCTTATGCCACTGACATGGAGGTTGTTCAAATTTCAGGGATTGAAATTGGGTACATGAGACAATAACTTGTCCATTCCTTTGATCTTCATCTGTTAACATGGGAAACAAACCTTTGTTATCTTTTTCTCTGCTGTTGTAGTGTAGGCTCATAGCTAACGAGTTGTGAATGATCAATTATAGGAAAGGATATTGGAAATTGAGTACACAAGGGTTGTGGCCCCACGAAAGGAGGAAGACCCTTCCCTACATGATGACTGGGTCAGTGCTGTTGATGGTTCTTCTTCTCGGTAAGCTTATAATGAGTGGTCCAAATTGAATTTTCTATTAACTCTTTAAGTTCATTAATGTTGGCATGTGGCAATATCTGTATGAGAAACTCCTTTTACTTAACCATTGTTTGTGAAAGACTTTACTGAGCTTGAAAGGTTGAATTTAAGTGTGGTTGGTTTTTATTGGCTTCCCGTAATTTGTTGATCATATTTGATGATGATGGCATGAGTGATTGGTGTAGAATTTTGACATCATCATTATTAGGTGTTCAATATATGATGTTTATTTATTTGCAATATGGTTGATGGCAATAATCAGTGGATACAGCCTAACCCTGCTCATGAATAGGCTCTTACAAATTTTTGGCAACTGGATGAATGGGTGTTCTTGTATAGCCTTTTTGTTTATTTAACTATTGACATATTGTTATTTTCGCTGGATAAAATATAAGAGTTTTGGTTGTTTTAGTAAGTTAATTGACTTTTGACTTGGATGTCCTTCAGTAAGAATTCAAAGTTGACAGTTTAACTTTTTCTGCAGGTTTTTTTTGACAGGATGTTATGATGGTTTAGGGAGGTAACAGTCTTGCGCATTTTTGTTCTAGAATTATCGGCATATTTTATGATTACTTGATATTATCATTTTATTATTTTCTCCATCTACTGAGCTTCCACCATGATATGAATAAATTATATTTCAGGGTATGGAAAGGTGCTGGATTATGTACCCATATATTGGAGGGGCATAGCGATGCTGTTACTTCTGTTAGTATCATAAATCCAGAAGGTAAAGACAAGGATTTTCTCCTAAATGCTGGCAACTTTGTTTCCGTTTATTTTTTATTGCCGGCTGTCAAATTTCGGTAGATTCTTAACCTGTTTATGTTGATTAAATCATAAGGTTTGTATCTAACGGTATGAACAAGCTTATGACTGATTTTCCTTCGCTATCAAGTTCAACGTCATTCCATTAAGTTAACTATTTACTTTTTTCTTCTCTTCCCATTCATTTCTAATATGCAGATGATTATGCTTTATATGACATCAGTTAGTGTTTCAATTTTTCAATTTCCTTAAAAACTTTATTTCCTTAATAACACAAGATAGATATGTGCAGTATTCTCCATTGACTATGCTTTTATGTACATCAGATGTTATTGATGCGTATTTCATGTTTTTAGCAGGGAAATCTTGTTGCAAACATTTGTTCACGTTTCTTTCTGTAATTCGTTTGTCCTATTGTTCCATAACATAGATGCATAGTACTGTACTTGAATTTATCCAAGTTAACAAGATTTGTACTGTAATCAGGTGTAGAAACTGTTACATTAGCTACTGCTTCGAAAGACCGGACATTGAGGCTATGGAAGGTATCTAAAAGAAGCTTCTGAGCTACAAGTCCTTATGCCGAACTTATGCTTACTATGTTATTTTTTCCCTTTTGTGTGGAAGCTCAATACAGATGAGGCTATCAACCATCCTACGAGGGTTAGGGCTTTCAAAATCTTGCGTGGTCATAAGCTTTCTGTACAGTGTGTTGCTGTGCAGACAGCTGGAGAAATGGTTCCTATTTCCTTCTTTTTTTTAAAAAAAATTTCTGCACTCACTTTCTCTTCACCGTTTATTTATGGTGTAATAGTGGCCTGTTACAACAGTCTTGTGTTTTCTCGTATACTTAGGTTTGTTCGGGTTCTTGGGATTGCACCATAAATCTATGGAAAACCAATGACTTTAATGCGGAAGATGACCTTGTGTCCAAGAAGAGAAAAGTTGAAGGTCATGTTGAGGAGTCTCAATTAGAGGTTTGTACAAGTTCCTTGCACCTTAATGTTTTTCTTGTATTGTTGAAATTGGAATTTGAGGGCAAACCTTGAAGCAATGGTAAGTGTTGAAATGAGAGGGTTTTAGGTGTAGATGGAGGAGAAAAGATGAAGGGACATTATGTGTTATGAGGTGATACAAAGCAATACTAAAGACAAAACAATAAACCCTATTTATACTAACTAGGGAAATTCCATGCCTAGCTGAGGAAGAATTACAAGGCATAAAACAAAAAAAATATGTGGATTCAAGGTTCAGGGCACATTTATTCAAATATATCCATGATCTACGGAAATTTTACGTTTTCTTTTGATAATAAAATAGAAAACAGGAAAATAACGCCATTTGATTTCGACAAAATACCTACACCCAAGTTCCATAGCTTTGGATCTGCTAGCCTGATCATATTTTCCTAAAACAAGGAAACAAATCATGAAATGTAATGAAATAGGGAAACTAGTCCTAAGAGATTAACTACGATAATCTAAACTATATAAAGATATAATTTTATACAATATCTTCTGGATATTCAAGATATTCTAATACTCCTCCTCAAGCTAAAGTTTACTAAAGCTTTAAGCTTGTTACAAATAAACCCTTTTAAAAAAGAGAAATAACCAAATAATATAATTTGAGCTCCACAAAACATGGTTAGAAAGGGAACTCGGGGATGCTGGAAACGACAAATCACCAAGACGGTTAAAGTGATCATTAGCCTGAAGAGCTAGTTGAAAGATTTTATGACCAAGGAAGAGATTTCGCTGGAATGACCATTAGCAGAAACATATGGCAGGAATAACCATCTTTCAGGCAATATCTTTATGCATGAAAGATTATTTGATATAATTATAAAAGTTTAAACTTCCTTCTTTAATATGTTTTTTAATTTTCTACTGGTTGAATGTGAAATCTCAAGGTTCCTATTTATACTGGCACCAGAGGCTGGAGGCCAGGAATGAAAATATTTTTCAAACTAGTTTAGAAGGAAATTTTATGATCTAATTCTTAGACATGTTAAAAGTTTTCTTTTAATTTTATTGTAGACTTGTAAAATGGTTAGACCTTGTAGATTCTGTAACCATTGTTCTCTTAGTTGGTGTTTCTTTCCCTTTTGATGTATGGTTATGTAGTTTTATTGACAACATAAACAAGTTTTCATCAATAATACTTTGTTGTATTATAGGGAGAGGCTTTCACTACACTTGTGGGCCATACACAGTGTGTATCTTCTGTGGTTTGGCCGCAACGGGAGTCAATCTATTCTGCATCCTGGGATCATTCTATTAGGAAATGGGATGTTGAGACAGGCAAAAACTTGTCAGATATAGTAAGTTGACAAAATGCTGATGCAGCTGCTCTCTTTCTCTCTCTCTCTCTACCCGCCACCCCTTTTAAAATTGTACATTTTTGACGCTTAAATTTTTGTCTTTAGATCAAGCTTTGTGAAATCTTACCCTTTTACTCTGTTGATTTAACTATTTTTATGCAAACAGGCAGCTAGGTTAAAACTGGATTCGGGCATGCTTGTCATTTTTCTTTTCTGTTTCTTGTTATGATGATCAAAGCACTTCTTGTTTTCTTAATCTCTTATTTTTTTGTCTTTGAAGTTTTTTATATTTCTCTGGATAATGTTTTGTCTAATCTATATATTTTGTGCATGCTATTTCTTCTACAATTTTTCCTCACTTGATTACTGATTATGATGCTTTTACTAGGTAGTCCACTGTTGTCTTGTAATGAAGCAATTTCGGCTTTGGCCTTTGATTATACTTAATTTAGTATAAGTTTGTTGAATCCTATCATTGAGTACTTACTGTGCTGGAGGAAGTGAAAGCCTGTTCATGATCATTAATCTGATTCATTATAATGCAAAATTTTCTGGTTATCTATTTAATGTTTTCCTTCATTTATTGTTTGAAATTATTTTCCTGACAAAATTTTGGTTGAAAATGATTTATGTTTGGTATCAAAAGTAGAAAAGCAGCACAATATTAAAGTTAAAGTTTTTCAATTTTGAGACTACATTGTCCTCCATGTATAGTTCTGCGGGAAGGTTCTCAACTGCCTTGATATTGGTGGGGAAGGTTCTTCTCTGATAGCTGCTGGTGGTTCTGATCCTGTCCTTAGGATTTGGGATCCTCGTAAGCCAGGTCTGTTAAATAAAGCAAAAAAATCATTTACTCTCGCCAGACAATCACGTTCCTGCTAGTATCTTACAAAACAAGTTGTCTTGTCTGCAGGCACTTCTGCTCCTGTTTTTCAGTTTGCATCTCATACTTCTTGGATTTCTGCTTGCAAATGGCATGATAATTCTTGGTTTCATTTACTTTCTGCATCCTACGATGGAAAAGTTATGTTATGGGATCTGAGAACTGCGGTAATATATATCTTTATCTTATCAAGTTTACTTCTGGTGCAATTATATATCCTTGGGTTTTAACTCGATAATTTTCTGCATTAATGTTGCAGTGGCCTATTTCAGTCATTGAATCACACGGTGATAAGGTACAAAACTTTCTGTCCATGTTTTAACAGAAAAAGAAAAGTACTTCTCCAACATCATTGTTTTATTCTCAAGAAGGGCCAAGATTGCGGATTAATAGAATTGTCATTTGTTTAACTCAGGTACTGTGTGCTGACTGGTGGAAAAGTGACAGCGTTATTAGTGGTGGAGTCGACTCAAAACTTTGCATTTCTTCAGAAATTCCTGTACAGTGAGGTAAACGTTAATCGTAGTGTGGCTATAATTTTTGAGATGGTGGGGTAGGAGTAGTAGATATTTCTTATATATTGGGAACGAATCAAGTTTTGAGCCATTTTTTGTCTAAGGCCCAACTGGCAAGTGTTTATCATGTGTTGTGAGCAAAGCCTTGTTTATGTAAACACTTAAAATTTTGCATATCTTGAACTCATTCTGCATGCCAAATTTTCAGACATTTTACTTATGTGTGGGGTAGAGTTTGTTCCTCATTTGGGTTATTTCTGGGATAAAGAAAAAAAAGGGAATTTTTGATTGCATCAGAAATAATTTTTTTTAATATAGTATGGAGGAAATATCTTCTTAATAGCTCGGATATTGTTATTCGTGATATTGATCCGATTTGATATTGATAGCATGGAAACGTAATTTATTATACCATTGAATTTACCAACGAAAGATGTATCATCTCTATGGGATTAAATGCTGTTTGATAAAAAAAACACGATACAATACTTGCAGAATAGTAATGCTGAATAATTAACATTACTTCACCGTCATAAAAGCATAGACTTAAGAGGAAATATCATTTAGTGCTATGGCAACTTACATTGGAAAAATAATCGCGTAGTACTGAATACTCCGTATATCCCTAAATCACTTGCTAAAGTGGAAAAAAAGTAACCCACCTAACAATATTTATTCTATCACTTTTTTTAGGGTTAATACCATATGAGTTTTTTTTTTTTTTTTTTTCCTTTTCTCTTATCGGGTCTATATTATTTTTAAGTAAATGAGTACCTACTACAAGAATATTGAAAATATGCTATTGGATGATTGCTTTCACCCGGATACTGTTTCTGCTATTGGTCAGGAGTCCATGAAATACTTCAGTTGCAGTTTAATGCTAAGTAATCTTAACTTACAGAGGACTTTTCTATGAAAAAATTGTAGTTAAATTTTTTTGTCCTTTTCAAGTCATATTAATAACCTAATTCAGCTAAATATGATTATGGGTGAATAAAATTTTTACGTATTAAAAGAACTGCCATAAAATCTGCATATCAAGTTTCACTTTCGCGAACAAATTTGTAGGCTTCTATAAGTATTTCTTTCTGGGATAGGATATTGTGACACCCAAGTTATGTTACACCCATGTGACACCCAGTCAATCTCACCGTTAGATCGCTTATGTTGATCCAACGGTTATATTTATTTCCATCTTTGTATGGTCATGATTTCTCAAATTTAATATTTTATATTTATTTCTACCTTTGTATGGTTATGATTTTTCATATTTAATGCTTTCACTTTAAATTTGGGAAATCATGACCATACAAAGATGAAAATAAATATAACCGTTGGATCAACATAAGCGATCTAACGGTGAGATTGACTGGGTGTCACATGGGTGTAACATAATTTGGGTGTCACAATATCCTATCCCTTTCTTTCCAGCTGCTGTTTTTCAAAATCAATGAAGTGTAACAACATACTCTCAATCTCTTATTTATTATAAGAGTAAAACTAAACTTATGTTGCACAAGAGAGTGTATCTTATGTTGTGAAATAAAATCAAGGAGGGTTTTATCTTGATTTTTATTTTTTAGTGGGATCCATCTTGATTTTGTTTTACAACATAAGATATACTCTTATGCATTGTAAGATTAATTTTACCCTTATTATAAGAAAATAAAAAAAACAGGTTGTAGACTTGTAGGATTTCATATTTAACCGATTGGTTGTAAGTACGCATTACACAACACAAGTCGGGTTGTTTGTCCGCTATCTGATCCACTTCTTATGGATTGGATATTTGGGTTGTTTTTCAATCCAATTCAACGCAACTTTCATTTTTTAAGTTAGGTTGGGTCAAAAGCAATGAATTTACGCGTTATTAATAGCATTATGAGCCAAAGCATCATTGATTCAGTCACTGACGTATAATCCTTTTCTATTATCTTGCTAGTAATAAATGGCATCAGTTCAAAACCACACACCCAAACCCTTTCCCTACTGGATCACATGCCGATACCCCATGTAGGTCCACAAGCAGAAGGACCAAACCCAACCCCAAAGTGTACCCCACTTTTATTACACAATCCCAATCTCTACACGACCCTACCCATATCCACATCCCCATACGAAATAACCACATGCAAGGCATTAAGGAGAATTTATCAAAAATGCACCCGCTAAGCTATACATACTTCAACCACTCTGTAACAAATTTCACCCTACACCCACAATTGTCAACAAAAATCAACTACGGTATTTAGGTTTTAGATCACTTCTATCTCCAATGAAGAAATCCCACGGCTTAGATTGATCTGATTTTTTCCCTCCAACAATTGATCTTACTTTGATGAAGAAACCAGAAGTGGGTATGCTAAGAAAATGTAACGTTATATTGAAGTAAAACAAATGCAAATCACGTGCAAAGGACTTGTCTAATCATTATTGGCACTGACAGATAAAGTTAGTAGTTTTAGCTTGGTCCAAACTAAAAAAGTTTCACGAAAATAAGCTAAGGCTAGATTGAGAAGGCGTGATGAAATTAGCGAGGCATAAGTTGTAATTTAGCTTAAAATTTTCAGTGATCAAATGCTATCCATGGAATAATGATAAAGAATGTAATAATTTGAAATAAATTATAATTATAAAAATATTTTAATTTTTGTCCCAAAATAATATTATTTTGGACTCAATGCAGATAACTTATCTGCATTTACTGCAGAAAAAACTAAACCTTTTTTTTTAGATACTAATCATAAAATCATGAGAAAAAGGTATCTAATGTTACTTTAAATAATTTTGTCTAATGTTAATCGAAACGACGTCGTTTTGGGTTGAAAAATTAAAAAATTAGAATGATAAAAATAATTATAACCCTGAAATAAATTAAAATTATAAAAACATCATGATTTTCGCCCCAAAACGACGTCGTTTCGATGAACATTAGATAAAGTTATCTAAAGTAACTTTAGAAAAAACAAACCCTAAAATCATATACCAACACTCTAAAAATTGGTACACGGATTTTTTTCCGGATTCTCGAGAAACTGAAATTTTTAAAATTTTAAATTTTTAGATATTATCGTAAACTGAATGTAAAAATTATATTTTTAAAAATCGAGATTCCCAGATAAATAAAAATTTCTCCTGTACCAAACGTCTCCTAAAAATTAACAGAAACATTTTTCAAATGGTAAGCAATATAAGAAATAGAAAATTACTCCAAGGATCTACACACATTTTTTCTCTTCTAATTTTTTGTTATTTTTTATTTTTTCTTAAACAAAGCCATTAATAATTGTCTTGGGGAAGCAGGTACCCTTAACTTTTTAAAGCAGGACCGCGTAGGCAACTTTATGATGGTAAGTAAGGGTGGTCGATGCTTTGAATGAGGAAAATAATATCTCACATCACTGACACAGCTATTGAAAATTCAGTTTGTGGCCTACTATGGCAATTGAGATTTGAGGTGTGAGTCCCAAAATTAGAAAAGAGCCAACTTTATATTGGGATGACTTCTCATCCCCTCATTACCAAAAGAAGAAAAAAAATCTCATCCCCTAAAATTTGTATTAATAAAAGGATGTTGAAAGAGAGAACATATTTCATGCTAAGACACAAAATGATAGGACCCACCACTAAAAAAAAGTAAAGAAAAGAAAATAGCAGCACATTTACGAAGTGTCTATGACATAAGATAGTAGTTTCCTACAACATAAGATATTAGTCTCTTACAAAATGATGAGACCCACCACTAAAATAAAGTAAAGAAAAAAAAATAGCAACACATTTACAAAATGTCTATGACATAAGATAGTAGTCTCCTACAATATGAGACTACTATTTCCCTTAATAAAATTATGCCATCCACATCAAAATTTCACAACTGGATAAGCAGAATAGAAAGGGCACTATCAATTTCAAGTTCAGAGTGCATTATAGACGATGTGATAATAGATCAAAGAAATCCATAAATGCCATAACCAAGACTAACTTAACCATTATTAAAGAGAAACACTTTCATCTTCAAGAACAACAACATCCCATGGTTATGACCAAAGACAATACCTATACTTTCAAGATTTCAGCCACTTAACGAATCTATTAATATTCTCTGAAGATCCACCACCTTCTGTCACGTTGTTCATGGCCATCTCCTTCAGTTGTAGAGACCTTTCTCTTATTTGTTCATCACTAAACAATTGGTCCAATTTCTTCTTAATCTCCCACCTTGACACATGTCCATTTTCATCATATTCCATTCCCAACCCAACTTTCAACTCATCACAAATGTATTTTTTGTTATGAAATTGGTCAGCAAAATAAGGCCAGCACAAGAAGGGCACCCCATTAGACAAACCTTCCATGGTTGAATTCCAACCACAATGGCTAACAAAACAAGCTATGGCAGGGTGTCTTAGCACCTTTTGTTGTGGAGCCCATGAAACTATCTTCCCTTTACTACCTATGAATTCATTGGGGTATGTCATGTTATTGGTGCTATTGGAATCTTGACGCACAACCCAAAGAAATGGTCTATTTGTAAGGTCTAGTCCAAGTGCTAGTTCTTTGAATTGGTTTTGGTCAAAAAGAGTGAAACTACCAAATGCAACATAGGTGACAGAACAATGAGGTTGTTGATCAAGCCAACTCATGCAGGAGAGATCTTTTTCCCAGAACTGTCCCAATGATCTTGAAGTTACACATGTATTGTCATAACTTCTCAACAAGGGGCCAACTGGTAAAAGCTTTGGATTAAAGGACAATGCTCCAGGTTCAAGTTCATATGTGGTGTTACAAAGCCACCACTCTGTCATATTAAAAGTTTGTGTGCAGTGCACCAAATAATCAAATATTTTCTTCTCAGTTTTTGAGTCATGAAGATTTGACCACCAAATGAGTCCTGTGTCCATAGCAGGCATACTTGGTGATATCTGAAATTTCCTTTTTGTTACTGGGAATCCTGCGGTTCCAAACAAAATGAAGCTATTGTGTTATCATAAAGTTTAATTTGCATTAAAGAAAATAGAACCAAACAAAACTGGTTCATTATTAAAATGTGATTATTCTTACCATCAGAATCTATGATGCCATCTTGAATAAGCTTGGGGATGTTGTATTGCAAGGGAAACAAAGTTGCTGCTGCAGTGCAGAAGAGAACTCCTTTGATTCCTAGCTTATTCCCAACTTCTAATGCCCATGCCATATGCATATCAGCAACTATGCATGTGATTTTATCATCACTATTCAAATGAATATCTTCTATGAGCTTCTCAAGCATACAAGGCATGGTGCTTAATGATAAGTCCATGAAATGATACTTACAATGTATGGTTTTTAATATGAAAATGTAAAAAAAGAATACACTTTGTGTTAATAGATACCTCAAATTGCATTAAGATGAATGATTCTGATTTAAGTGCTAATGGGTTTTTATTTGCATTCTTCAGGCCCACTTGTGATACAGCCCAAGGAAAGAAAGAAAAGTAAAGGAAAGAGAAAGGAAATAATAAAAAAAAAGAGAGAGCAAAAGAAACAGATTGGGCCACTCTTTTACAAGGCAAGTCAGAGGCCCAAATTGAAGAAAAGGAAGAGGTTGAAAGAAAAGCAAGCAGCCTTGTCACAAATCAGCAGCGTAAAAAAAAAAGAAAGAAAAACTGAGACTTGCAAAACCCTAACGCCTTTTCTCTCTGACCGAGCCCTAACCCTCATGCAACCCATCTCCATCGTTTGCACCCTTTCTACCCGATTGACACACCAAACCGCAAAATTTCGCAAACAATCAGAACCTAGCCACTATCTTGAGTTAGAAAAAGGACAAAGGAAAACCGTTACTGAGTGGTGAGCTGGATACTTTTCGAGAGTAAGGCTGAGCAATTTTTGGGCACAAGTTTACGTACGGGGTGAAGGAGCAACAATCCATTCAGATTGTCTGAGGAGGGAGCTGTTGGGGACCACCGGTGTGTAACGCGCAAGGAGCGCGTGTATACCTGCTGAGCTGGAGAGGAAAATCGCGCAAAGTGTAACACCCCGTTCTAGAACCGGTTTGTTAACATCGCATTATGATATTAAGCGCAGTTACAATCACATGGGTTCAATTAAAATCCGGATAAATTTTTCATTTTAAAACATACCGAATTTATAATACCCAATTCCGTGATCATAACCGTATTACCTTGCGGAATCATATCAATTAAGCTTAACATCATGTTCTTATTCCATTTTTAAATCATTAATTTACTTCTTCTACTATATTGTAGGTTTCTTCATTAGCTACCTGTGGCTTCAAACCGTGCTCAAATCGGGGCACTGTAGCCCAAGTTAGGACAATTTGGAGCAACACAAGAGAGTGTTGGTCACAGGCCCAGCGCGCTTCAGCGCGCTACCGGGCGCTCAAGCGCGCGCTATCGGGCGCTAAAGCCTCCATCTGGGCGCTTAAGCGCACGGAGGCAGTAAGCATCAGGCATTCCAGTGTGGATGGGCGCTTAAGCGCGCAACAGGGCGCTCAGGCGCGCTATCCTGGGCGCTCAAGCTCCCACGGGGACGTTTTAGCGCGCAGAGACAGAAGCATCTCCTCCTTCAGTGGCGAAGGGCGCTTAAGCGCGGACCAGGGCGCTCAAGCGCGCAACCCTGGGCGCTTAAGCCCCACCCTGGGCGCTAAAACATGAGGGGGCAGTAAGCCACCCAACTTTCTGCAGCAAGGGGCGCTTAAGCGCACGCCAGGGCGCTCCAGCGCGCAATCCTTGGCGCTTAAGCCCCCACTTGGGCGCTCCAGCGCGAGGAGGCAGAATGCATTGGCACTCGCAGGGGCAGCAGGGCGCTTGGGCGCGCTCCTGGGCGCTTAAGCGCGCTGCCAGGGAATTCCAATTCCCACATTTCTCAAGTCCAAGCCTAGAGGAAAATGCATCCCCATTACAAACCCCAAATGTCCATGCCCCAAAACTAAATCCTAGCACTCATCCAACCTCTCCTCATGAGATTTAGCTAGAATTTGGGCAGCATGACCTTTGTTTTCTCATCGTTTACCAGTTTAAACGAAGAGGGTACCTAATTGATTTTCAGCCCAACCAATTCAACAACTCAATACATAACAAGCATGCATATATTGAATTCCAAGTAGGCATCATTTACATTACATATCCTTTACAAATCATAGAACTTAGCTTACAAAACACTATGATCATTCCCTTGGCTCCCATCAACAAAAGGTGTAACCAAAGGCATGAGCATAGGCTAAGTTCATCCAATGAATCAAGATATACAAATGATCATGGGCTTTCAAAATAAAATCCTATACATGTCAACTACAAAAGGCATGCATAAACTCAAAGAAGTGCCATATTTCATGCATGATCTAGGTATGGCCACTTGCCACCAGAGGCTCCTGCAGCATCCTTACCTGAAAGGGGGTCCCCACAACACGGGGTGAGATATACGAATATATCCAGTAAACCAGGGGTCCTTGGAGCATCTCTCCACCCCACAGTTCCATATCAGTGTAATAGCAATAACAATAATAATGCAGTAAATACATATCTATGCAAAGTGCAATACATCTCCAGGAGAAATCCCTCGAGCTCTCAAGCTGTCCTAAGGAAACTCAGATGCAAATAGTCCTACTGGCCAGCTAACTACCAAGTATGATTTACGCATCGTCATGCCACATACCAACATAGGGAAACACCATCCTATGCCACACCAAATGCATACACATACGTATAACAAAACATTACACTATTTTATTGCATTTATATACACAATCACAACCTCCACCCTTTCGGGGCTTGGTAGAACAGTCAAGGGAATTACACCCAAGGTCCGAAGGCTTACCTCAATGCTTCAGTCAACCTTTGTTCTTCACCAACAGTTTCAGCAATCAACTTTTACAAATATACACCTATACAAGGGTAATGCAATTAACATATTGCATTCAAGGATAACTCATCATCATCAATCCAAGCTATCCTATTCATACCACAACACAAGGATGAGCTTACCAATTCCAATGAGCTATTCAAGCTCCATAGCTTGCTCCAATGGTTGATCACTCACCGTTGGTCCAAATGTCTCAATCCTAGACATCACAAGGACCCAATCAATCATTCAACTCACTAATTGTTCAACATGCTAGAATACTAACCAATCCAAGCATGAATTTTCCAATATTATGAACAATTATCAAATGACTATCTAGGCTCATTTCCACCGATTAAATGACATTCCTAGCATTTTCCATAACATGCTCTAAGCTCCATTCTTCCTAGAACATAGCTAATTCAACTACATTTCATAAAAATCCCAATTTTCACCAAAGGGCCGAATTTTTGAGAGGTAATATCTCTCTCCACAATGCTCCCCACTCAAAACAAAGCAAGGATTATGAAAGAGGGCGAGATTCTAAGCGATTTAGGCTTTTGAATCACCCAAAACCGTTGGGATTAGCTCTCTCTCTCTCTTTCCCTTTTCTTCTTCCCTCTCTTCTCCCTCTCTTCTCTTCTCCTTTCTGGTTCGACGGGTTGGGTGGGAAATGAGGGTCATTTGGTGACTTAAGTCACTTAACATAGGTTAAGTGGCTCTAAGCGGGTATTGGTTCGTCTATCTATTTAACTCCAATAATTACCAAACTTTACCCAAAAGTCTGGAATATTATTCTAGGAATATTACTATTTTTATTTTTATATTTTGGGTACTTTTGACAGTACCCATTTATACCCCTTAATTTTCACTGAGTACACTTTTTAACTCCAAAGTGACTCAGATTCATTTTATTAAGCCTCATACTTAATTTCACCCAGTAAAACATGTTTAATTAATTAATTACACTTGATTTCCTAATTAATTAATATGGGCTATTATAGTCACCCCACCTTTTAGCGATTTTGTCCGCAAAATCAAGAACGTACCTGTCCTTAAACTCAGGATATTGCCGGAGAAGCTCATCTTCCCGCTCCCAAGTGGACTCTTCAGGCGTCCTTCCTTCCCACTGGACTTTCACCATAGGAATAGATTTATTTCTCAGCTTCTTCTCATCTCTTTCGAGTATCTTCAGTGGTCCAATAGGAGTCTTCAAATTCTCCCGGATTTCAACATTATCAGGTTGAACCACATGAGAAGGATCAGCTACATATTTCCTCAGCTGAGAAACATGAAACACATCATGTAAATTTGCTAATTGCGGAGGTAAGGCAAGCTGGTAGGCAACCGGTCCCACCCTACGGAGAATCTGGTAGGGTCCAATAAATCTCGGACTCAGCTTCCTCACTCCAAGGGCTCGTCCCACACCCGTAACCGGTGACAGCTTCAGGAACACATGATCTCCCTCCTCAAACTCTAGAGGTCGATGCTTGAGATCATAGTAACTTTTCTGACGATCCTGAGCCTTTTTCAGACGATCCCTAATCATTTTAATCTGCTCAGTAGTCTCCTGAACAAAATCCAATCCAAACCGCTCTGTGTCTCCAACCTCTGACCAACAAGTAGGTGTCCTACACCTGCGACCATACAAGGCCTCGTAGGGAGCCATACCCAGACTAGCATGGAAACTATTATTATACGAAAACTCAACCAGTGGGAGATATCGATCCCATGCAGTACCCTGCTCCAGGGTGCAAGCCCTCAGCATATCCTCCAACGTCTGAATGGTCCTCTCAGTCTGACCATCCGTCTGTGGGTGATAAGCAGTGCTCAGTCTCAACTGAGTGCCAAGAGCCTCCTGCAATGCTCCCCAGAAGCGAGAAGTGAACTTCGGGTCCCGATCACTAACAATGCTTTCAGGCACCCCATGAAGCCTCACAATCTCCTTCACATAGAGCCTAGCCAATCTCTCCGCAGAGAAATCTACCCGAACTGGCAAAAAGTGTGCGGATTTTGTCAATCTATCCACAATCACCCATATAGAATCATAACTAGCCTGCGTTCGCGGCAATCCCACTACGAAATCCATGGAGATACTCTCCCATTTCCATTCAGGAACATCCAGAGGTTGTAACATACCAGAAGGCTTTTGATGCTCAATCTTTACCTTCTGACAAATGAGACACTTAGAGACAAATTCGGCAATATCTTTCTTCATACCAGGCCACCAGAAATTCATCTTTAGGTCCTGATACATCTTTGTAGCTCCCGGATGAACTGTAAAATGACCTTTATGAGCCTCTGTCATCACTTCTTCCGCCAACTGCCTAGGTACAACAACACGACCCTGATACAATAGTATACCCTCCTCATTGCAGGATACACCACTCTGACCTTTTAGTCGCTTAGCACTTTCATTTTGCAGCTGAGCTTCTTTGATTCTGGTCATCAGTTCAT